CTTTCTTTCCCAACTAGCCCTTGCTGTTCCTTGTCAGTTTCTCAAACAGCCTAGAAGTAAGACATGGAAGCCAGAGCCCCATGAGGGGCTTCAGCAGGGAATCAAATTGTTCAGCAGTCTTCAGCTGTTTTGTAGAGAAGTGACTCAGAATGAGCTTCAAATGTGATCTGTAGTAGGAATGATTTGTGCAAACATTGAATGCAAACCAAGCAATAGAATGAAGTAACTTAAAATAAGACATGGGAGGTTGTTTTACAGTGCAGGAGCACAATAATTTGGCTGGAAAGAGATTAACATGAATTAATGTTTGGGAACTGATTATCTCTGGACTGAAATGACGTACTCAAAAATGAAGATGCTGAGCTACTGCAATAAATTATCAAGAAGGAAGGTATTTTCCTTAAAATTGGTTAAAAGGCTGCAGACAGGGTGTGGTGATTAATGGTTCTATGTCCAGGTGGAGGCTGGTAAATGTCATGGTTTTGTGATTTTTGTGAATATCGGGCCGAACCAGCCTGTAAACTGTTGACAGTAATGAGCAGTATCCCTCAGAGGTCTGTCTTGATACCGGTGCTCCTTAACATCTTAATCAATGGCATCGATGATGGAATTGAGTGCACTCTCAGCAAGTTTGCTAATGAACCAACCTGAGTTGGTGCAGTTGACGAAATGGAAGGAAGGGATGCCATTCAGAATGACCTCAACGGACTTGAAAGGTGAGCCCAGGTGAAACTAATGAGATTTGATACAGCAAAGTGCAAGGTTTTGCACTTGGGCCGGAGGAATCCCTGGCATCTCTACAGACTGGGAGGAGCAGTCCTTGACAGCAGCCCTGAAGAAAGAGGTCTGGGGGTCCTGATGGGTGAAAAACTGAGCGTGAGCCAGCAGTGTGCCCTTGCAGCTCAGAAAGCAAATGGTATCCTGGGCTCCATTAGAAAAGGAGTGGCCAGCAGGGACAGGAAGGTGTCTGTCCTTCTCTACTCTGCCCTTTGTGAGACCCCATCTGGATGGAGTACTTTGTAAAGGGTAGATAACAGCAGGACAAGGGGAAATAGTTTTAAGTTGATGGAGGGAAAATTTAGGTTGGATGTCAGGGGGGAGTTCTTTACTATGAGCAGTGAGGTGCTGGAACAGGCTGCCCAGAGAGGTTGTGGATGCCCTGGAGGGGCCCAAGGGCCCAAAGCCAGGTTGGATGGGGCCCTGGGCAGCCTGGTCTAGTATTAAATATGGAGACTGTTAGTCCTGCCTGTGGCAGGAGGGTTGGAGATTCGAGATCCTAGAGGTCCCTTCCAACATAGGACATTCTGTGATTCTTTAATTCTCTGAAATTAAAATTCATTAGATGATAATTATCTTAGATGATAATTCAGTGGTTCCTTTTAGACTTTTGATAGAATCATGGGCTTATGAAAATTGTAGCTTTGAAATTAGTTTCCAAACTAGTATTGTTACAGGCCTTGACTTGTTTCTACCAGACACTGGAATCCTGAGCTCATCTCATGGTTTATCTTTTCCAAGAAAAATGGGGCATTTATCCTGTCTATTCTTTTGCCTAATTCTATTGTTTGGACAGAGCAACACTTTTATATCAACTGTAGTTATTTTGTACTTTGAATTTCTTGGTCTCCTTCAGCACTGAAAAGAATTACCAAAACTATGTGCAGCTCATTCACATACTGATCAATTAACATAGGATAAATATCAACAGTTCTCTGTACCTTTTTATCCTTTTCCTTGGGAGTGTTTCTGTCACGCTCAAAAGGGAAAAATCCTTCGAGGCCAGATTCATGAGGCTGGACAGCATGCTCATCACTATAAAGATATCAAAAGATGGGAATGTACAGTAGTCTTGACCTTTGGGAGTGAAAATACTTATTACCTTGCTTTTTGAACTCCAATCAGCAGTAGAACTGGTCTGTTATTTTCAGTCTTCCCACAGCTATATTTTCATAGTAGTCAAGCTTTCATTTCACAGCCTTCCTACCTCTCTCACATGATACCATCAGCCCTCTTCCTCATATAATACTGGATATTATAGAACAGTACGTTTATTCTCTAGGATTTATTTTTTTCCTCCCACTATCCTCAGTAAAGTAATGATTGTCAGATCACAGGAACACCCCTCCTGCTCTTCACATTCATTTTGCTTTCCTTTTTCTAGACTGAGATTAGGCCTATCTTCTCAGTTATGAATAGCATAAATAGTAGCACAAAAGCTATTGAGAAGCTGGGGATGAAATATTGGAAACCTGTTTTTCCTAAAAATAATCAAAATGTACCACTGCCTATCAAAGTGGTGCTGTATACTATTGATATCTTAGGTGCTCTAAGATGGCTAGAAGGGAATGGCAAATTCTATTTTGGCGAAGTCAGGAAGGGGGTCAGAAAAACTACTACCTTATCCTTCAGGAGGGTGGACTTTGAACTATTCAGGATATTGACAGAGACAGTCCCTTGGGACTTTGCCCCAAGCAGAAAAGGGTCCAGGAAGGATGAACACTCCACAGGGAGAAAGTCTTCGAGGTGCAGGAGCAGGCTGAGCTACTGTAGTATAAGAGAAAAAAAATTTTTAATATAAATATATTAACTGTAAGAGGAGGGCTGAGGAAAATCTCCATTCTTTACTGGATGTGGCAGGGAACATGACCACTGAAGATAAGGGAAAGGCTGAGGTTCTCAATGCCTTCTTTACATCTGTCTTTAATTGTAGGACCAGTTATCCTGATATCTTGTTATCCTGATATTCTGATGGAAGGATCCTTCTGATCTGGAAGTCTGGGGTGCAGAGCAGAATAAGCCACCATTCAGACGGAAACATTTAGAGACCTACTACTCCACCTGGACTGTCACAAGTCCATGGGGCTAGAAGGGATCCATTTGAGTATGCTGAGTGAGAAGGCAGAGGTGATTGTCAAGGCACTTCAGCAAAGCCTTTGTCACTGTCTCCCACTGTATTCTCCTGGAGAAGCTGATAGCTCCTGTCTTAGACAAGTGCACTCTTTGCTGAGTGAAGAACTGGACAGATTGCTGGGCCCAGAGAACTGTGGTGAACAGAGATAAATCCAGCTGGCAAGCAGTCACAAGTGGCTTTCTTCAGAGTTTGGTATTGGGGCTTGTCCTTTGCTGATCACCCGAATGAGGGGACTGAGTGCAGCCTCAGTAAGGTTGCAGATGATGCCAAATTGGAAGGAAGTGTCCATCTGCCTGGACAGTAGGAAAGACCTACAGAGGGATCTAGCCGTGCTGGATCGCTAAGCTTAGGCCGAGGGAACTAGGACTGTTTAGTCTGGAGAGGAGTAGGCTCAGGAGAGACCATATCACCCTCTACAACTACCTGAAAAGAAGTTGTGGTGAGGTGGGGATCAGCCTCTTCTCTCACATAGGACTAGAGGGGAATGGCCTCAAGTTGCACCAGGGGATTATTTGGGTTGAATTTTAGCAAAAATTTCTTCTCTGAAAGAGTGGTCAAGCACTGGAATGGGCTGCCTAGGGAGGTGGTTGGATACCCATTCTTGGAGGTGTTCAAGAAATGTTTAGTTGTTGTACTAAGGGACATGGTTTTGTGGGGAAATATTTGTGGTTGGTAGATGGTTGGATTGGACGATTTTGGAGGACTTTTCCAACCTTGGTGATTCTATGATTCTAAGTTCCAAATGTTTTATTTGTTGTTATTGAATCTAATAGCCCAACAGAAACTAAACTGCCGTCATTCCCTGTCCCCAGTTCCATCCACTGGAAATTATATATTGTAAAAAATAAATTATATTAAAGAAATCAAATAAAAACAAAACAAAACAAACAAACAAACAAACAAAATAACCCAGACACACAGTACAAAAATACACATTGACAGAACCAGTGTCCTGGTTTTTCCTGGGACAGAGTTAATTTTCTTCCTAGTAGCTGTTATGATGCTATATTTTGAAATCTGAATGCGAAATGTGTTGGTAACACACAAATATTTTAGTGTTGCTGAGCAGTGCTTATATTAAGTCAAGGACTTTTCAGCTTATTTCACTGCCCTGCCTGTGAGGAGGTTGGGGGTGCAAAAGAGAGGACAGAATCAGGACAGCTGACCCAAGCTGGTCAAAGGGACATTCCAGAACATGTGACAAAAACAGAGGAATTGGTGGTGCTCCATCACTGAAGGATGGGCAGTTGGTGGTAGCAATTACATTGTGCATCTTTTTTTTTTTTTTTTTTTTTGCTCTATCAAGCTATCAGCCTATGAGCTTTATTTTTTCTCCAATTCTCTCTCCCATCTCACTGCTGGAAGGAGTGAGCAAACACCTGTTTGGTGCTTATCTGCCTGCCTCAGCAGCCAGTCATGCAACGTAACACAAGGACAAAAACTTAGCACCACGCAAACACAAACATCAACAGCTGCATCACTCTTTTCTCCTCTGTCTGATCAGGATAAAGGTCTGCCAACAGAAACTATACAAAGCGTGAATCCCTCCAGTAGCTCACCTTGGACACTCAGGCTGCTCAGCTATTCAGGAACTGGCCCTAAATCGTTGATCTCCTCACATGCTTGTAGAGGGGCATATGAAACTCTGAAGACTACAGCCTCACTCTGCTTCCTCGTACTGACACTCTCTCCTTTTCACCTCCTCTCCTTATCTTCTTTGAAGATACAAAACTTCACTTCCATCCCTCCTCCTCCCTCCCCCCCCAGACACACACATTGAGACCCACACATGTGCATTATCAGTCTCCCAGCAGTTGACCTGGATCCTTACTCTCTCAGTCACTGATAGTGGGGCATGCAAGATTTTAAAGCTTGGAACCCCACTTTATTTTCCAGAACACAATATCAGCAATGGATGAGCCTTCTAATATTCACATAGAATTCAGATAGAATCTTCCTCTCAGTATTGTCATTGAATGTATATATTTGAATGTGTATATTTTGTAATACTAAGTGTCACTGAAGTTGTGATGTAGAATAGTATTGCAACAAAACATCAAGTTGGGATAAAACACTCAAACTTCTTGAATGGAGTGACACAAACTTTATTCCTGATTTAAGAAGCTGACACCTCTGAGCAGTAAGGAGGTGTTTTAAAGCTAGGATAGAGATTATCCTGCATGTCCATGGGAAATCTGGCAGTGATTAAAACAAAGCTGAAAGAACAGGAGAGAACAGAGAACCATCAAGAAAGAGGATATTACAAGCTTGGACTCTACTGCAGAAAAGAAAAACGTGGAATTTGTTGTTTTCCTGTTGATGAGATGGAGGAGATTATTCACTTATTCTTTATATGGCTTGCTACCAGCCTAAATGAAAACAAAACAGAATAAATAATTAAGCAAGAACATGGTGAAACAATAGTCCAAATTTACAACTGCCTGTACTGTCATGTTTCCTGAGAGCATGCTCAGAAATGAGCATGTCAAGTTTTGACGGGGCCAGGCTCTTTTCACTGTCATGCAGGAATAGAACAAGGGGCAGGGGGCAGAAACTAGAGCATAAGAAGTTCCATATAAATAAAAGGAAGAAGACTCACCTGGACACTTTCCTGTGCAACCTACTGTAGAGAATCTGCTTTAGCAGGGGGCTGATATCTAGAGGTTGATTTCAACCCCTACAATTACGTGACACTGTGCTTCTGTGAAGTTGTAGCTCCTTCAGCCTTTCTTAGTAGCAAGAACATATCTTGCTACAAAAGTACCCATACAGATTATTTACTTGCATACTGAGTTAATAACTTTAAATAAATAAATAATAAATAAATAAATCACAAATGATTGTGACCCAGTAATGTACTTTCTCATGTAGGCTTCAAAAAGGAGGAAAAAAAGTCTTGAAAACAACTGGAGCTGTACTCGTACTCGCTCTCAACTGTATTATGTCCCTTCTCAAACACAATTCCCAGTCTACAACTAAAGGAAGTTGGTGCTGAGGCTTCCACTACTCTTACCAGAAATATCTATCAGGAATTTGAAAAGATTACAGATAAAAAGTGTTTTATGTCTGTTACTAGCTACCTAAAATTCTCCCATTTTCTTTTAGATTTATCCCATTCATTGTTTGTATCTTCTTCAAAACCCTGATTTTACTTTTGCTGCAGGCAAGTGTCCCTTCTCAGTGATTACAGAAAAGCATGATGTGTCTGATATTTCCCTTCTTTGCTTTCTGTAGAAGTTGTGCTTAGTACTTCTTATCTTTCTCCATATGTTTTCAGAAAGAATTTCTCTGCTGGACAGCATTGATTTTGTTTGAGCTCTGGAAAAACTGTAACAGAAAACTTACTACTTGTGATTTTTTGTAAATTTTGTTTTGTCCACTAATTCTTGTACTAGTAAACAAGCTCAGCCTGAAAGTGACACATCAGCGTACCTTGACTTTCCACATCAGAGCGCACACCAAAATTGCATAGAGGAAGGCTTTGCCACACAGAATGAGGTAAGTGAGCTTCATAGAATTTCCATAATGCAAGTAGGACTCTGCAAAACAAATGCAATTTGCATATTAAATTATCACCATCAGAAGAGACTTGATACAATGTACCAGAAATACTTGAAATCTTTAACTAAGCAAAGGAATTACAGTCAAATGAATGGTTATGTTGATATCTGAGATAGCACAGAATGGGAAAGAATATTGTGATTCAAAGAATGACAGGAGAAAGCAATCCTAGAAAAGACACAGACTGGCTTTATGATAAGAAAATATGTTCTGACTGGGAATGGTTAACCTCTGTGTTACCACACCTGATAAAAATGTAGGCTGGTCATGCAAATCCCCCTTAGGAAATTGATGTAAGTTGAATTACAAAATACATTTGTTTTCACTTGTTATTGTCAGTAGATGCTGTCATATCAGGTAAGTTTTACACAGCACAAAATAACATTTAGCCTACTAAAGGCTATTTAGCCTTTTATTTTAACGGCTTTCTGATCTTGCCTGACCAAACTGGTGGTCTCCTATGATGGAGTGGAGGCATCATTGGACAGAGGAAAGGCAATGCATGTCATCTTCCTGGACTTCTGCAAAGTCTTTGACATGGTCCCTCACCACATCCTTCTCTCTAAATTGGAGAAATACGGATTTGAAAGATGGACTGTTCAATGGATTAATAATTGGTTGACTGGTTGCAGCCAAAGGGTTGTGATCAATGGTTCCATGTTGGGGTGGAGGCCGGTCAACTCCAAGGTGTCCTCCAAGGGTTGGCTTGGGACCAGTGCTCTTCAACATCTTCATCAATGACATAGATGATGGCATCAAGTGCACCCTCAGCAAATTTGTGGATGACACCAAGATGACCAGTGCAGTCAATACAGTAGGGGGAAGGGAAGTCAACAAGAGGGACCTGGACAGGATGGAGAATTGGGCCCATGTAAACCTATTGAGGTTCAAAAAGGCTCTTGTGAGGCCTGATTTGGAATAATGCAGCCAGGCCTGGGGCCCCCAGCACAAGAAAGACATGGAAACTCTTGAAATGGATCCAGAGGAGGGCATCTATGATCAGAGGGCTGGAGCACCTCTCCTATGAAGAAAGGTTGAGGGAAATAGGATTGTTTAGCTTGAAGAAGAGAAGGCTCTGGGGAGGCCTCATTGTGGCCTTCCAGTACTTGGAGTGTATGAACAGGAGGGGGAATGGCTGTTTACATGGGTGGATAGTGATAGAACAAGGGGAAATGGTTCTAAACTGAGGCAGGAGAGGTTTAGGTTAGATATTAGGAGGAAGTTTTTCACTCAGAGAGTGGTGACACACTGGAACAGGTTGTCCAAGGAAGTTGTGGATGCCCCATCCCTAGAGGCATTCAAGGCCAGGCTGGATGAGGCTCTGGGCAGCCTGGTCTACTGTTTGGTGATCCCAGACATTGCAGGGGTGTCGAAACTAGATGATCACTATGGTCCTTTTCAAGCCAGGCCATTCTATGACTCTATGATTTTCAATTTCGATGTCATAACCACTTGGCTAGCATGATTTTTTTTCTTTCATGGATGAACTTTCTGCTAGAAAAAAGATAAACATGTAGCTTTCCTATAGAAGGTGATGTTGAAGACGGGGGAGATAGAAAGGGCAAGTGGTGGCATGGAAAGGTTCCACATTTTCTTCCATTATTTCAAAAAGTAAATGTAGATAAGAATCATACAGAATGTTGCTCCAACCTTTACTGTTTGTTTGTTTGTTTGTTTGTTTGTTTGTTTTTAAAAAATAAAGGTGTCACTCAGATCTGAAAGGATAAGTTAATCTTCTAGAAGAAAGAAATTTAATATATATCTCTCTCACCTCTTATATTTACCATCAGTAAAACTGAAATACAGACGTTTATTTGCCTATGTGAAGGTGAGAAAATACACATACCTTTAGTAAGCATACATCCTGAAAGACAAATAAAAACAGAATGTCACATCTTTCTTTGGTATGAACAAACACATATTTTTGACGTTTCCGTTTACAATATTTATTTTACTATACTGTGTATTTTTCATTTTACGTTAGTATATATTTTATATTTTACTATGTTCTTACACTAAGAAAATTTGAATAAACCTTTGAAAATCTCTATATATAGATAATACTGTAGATACATGGTGCTGTGAATACGAAGACATACAAATACCTATATAATTACAAATATATTTGTGTCATGAACAAACCACTATATAGAAATAAATTACCCATATCCTCTTTTTTCCTCTTTTAAGTGATTTCTAACTTGTACACTGTAACACTAGAATGTGATGGAAAGTATGGCAATAACAGCAGGGTGGCAAAGTCTTCTACTGCAGCAAAAGAGGACAAGCCCAAATGCAGCAGCCACGGACACAGAAACAAAGGAAGAAAATCTGCTTACATTTGGGAGGCTTCAGGTAGGCAGGGATCTCCAGTGAGATATCCTCACCTCCACTGCCAGCCCTTAAAATGAGGTCGTGGAAGGGGGTGGATCCTGGTTCTAATCCTTCTGGTCACTCAGGCGTACTGCATGCAACTGAGCAACCCTGGGTTGGCCCTGCCTTCCTACCAGGTGCTCAATCACTGTTTCAAGCCTTGACTTAGCATTTCCTATGTAACTATGTAAACCATGGCAAAACTCTTATGTTTTTTACTCACCAGTATCACCATGGATGAATTTATGTATTGATTTCTGTCCATCGTGAAAAAATTCAGCAATACACTCAAAACGGTTCAGAGGGTTGAACCACTCTTGGGCTGAGATTCTCAGTCTGCTGGTCAATGCGTAAGTGCTCCCATTTGATGTGGAAATCTCATCTGTTCCCACTCCTTCTGTCCTCTTGTTGCCATTCACCTTCCAGACTAAATTGAGGTGATCAGGGTAGAAACCGGAGGCCAGGCATACCAGAGTGGCCTTATTCTTCTGTTGAATCTCCTGCTTTGACGGTGAAAAGATGGCCACAGTCGGTGGTATGATTTCACTCTTCTTCCCTGAAACAGTAATGTAGAAAGTAGCATAGCTCAAAGGCTTCATTATTCTTCTCAGCAACTCCTTTTAACTATGAATTTTTTGGGCTGTGCAACTGGCCTTTTAATAAATTCCTAGTAGACAGATAATTATCTGTAATACAGATATGCACAAGTGCAAAGATCATTAGTTATACAGTAATATAAAAGCTCTATCAACAGAAACGCAGTACTATTTGCATTTCTCTTGTCTCTATTAGAACAGAACAGTTTATAAGAAACTGAGCAAACGTATTGTCAGAAAAGTATACAGTAGGCCTGTATTTGTGATGTTGTACTAGGAGACAAAATTCGTAAGCATCTTCAGCTGACTGTGGCACATTCCTGAAGTTATAGTAGGACATGGTGGTTATTGCTACTTTCAAAATTTTACTTCTATGTGATACCTTACTTGTCGCTCAAGGTACGATACGATCTGAAAGGAAAGAATTATTCATTCTCACTGAATCACTTCAGGTACAAAATCTAAAACTGAGTAGGACAACTTCATCTTTAGTTCTTAACTTACTATCCTATTTTAAGACTACGAAATATTGCTTTATGCCATTTATTATTCAGGTTATGCTCAGAATAAGAAAACCTTGTGTAAGACTTTTGAAATAAAATGCATATACACTCACAAGAAAAAAACGTTTCATGTCCTAGATGATCCATGTCCTTATATGTATACATCTACAGTCAAAAAGGAGAAAGGAGCTAAAAGGCTACAGTAAGATGTTACTTACTAAGCAGTAAAGCTAAAATCAACCTTTTAGTATTTTTGTTATGTTTCATATATATTTCTCTAGAGGTCCTTTTTATTATTATTATTATTATTATTATTATTTTTTAATTCTTATCTAGCATGACAAATCCACCGGGTCTGCAGAACACACATGGAAAGAGAAATCCATGAAGAGAATTATGGACTAAGACTTTGTACTTTTTCTATGTGATGGAATTATATATTGTGGATGCTTTTCACAATCGTTTCCTCTTTTCTAGGGTGGACACATATAAATAAAAAGAGTTTTATGTCTTGCACAGATCTTGACCCCAAAAAGCCTCTGTATTTTCTTTCAACTGTTAGCCTTAATCATGATTGTCAGTGTTTACTCCACAAAGAGCCTTGAGCCCATACATATGAGCTCATACAGGCCTCAGAAGAGGTATAGTAATTTACAGTGATGTGTCTTCATAGTCAACTCACTAGAAAGTTTTGAACTCCTCTACTTACACTCCAGCTAGCACAAATTAAGGTTGATTACTTTTACTTCCAGTACCTGGTTGTGTGTTTGTTGTTTATTTTAGCTCTTAATGTATCTCTAGTATAACATCAGTGTGGTGGTCAATGAGTGAAGACATGAAAACAGATGAAGAAAAGAAAACACAAAATAATAGTGAGGGAGGTTCAAAAACAAGCAAACAACAACAAAACAGAAAAGGAAAGCTGTGAAAAAGGCTTGCAGAGAGAATCAAAGTAAAAAGAATTAAAAAGAAAAAAACAGCCAAGCATAGCCAACGAATTAGCGTATTTAAAGTGGAATAAGGAGACTGATGCAAGCAAGAATAGAGGCAATCATAAAATATGTTGTCAAAAGCCCATTCTGTTCTGATCATCCACGTTGGCCATATAAGATCACTGTTGCAATGCTTAACCACTCTCATGCATAAATGCATGTAAGCCCTGCCTTACACTCTTCACTCATCCCAGAGAAAACGTGTCGCAGTTCTTCCATTCCATTTTCATCATACTAAGATCACTTTCATGATTTCTTGTTATATTTAACCCATACTTTCATCTGAATATAATCTATGTGTATACTATATATCATCAAGAGAAATTTTCAATTGACCTTTACATTAAGCACTTGGGCAAAATCACAGCAGCTTGTGCATAACTTTGACTATGATGTCAACTCCAAATATAACTGCAGTTAAAAAACAAAGCTGAACCTCATCAGACTACAACCCACAAAGTCCTTGTGTTGCCCTTATCAGTCACTAAGTTCCTTAAAATGGGAATATTCAAAGGAACGTATTCTGGTGTGTATTTCTACAGTTTGCTATCAGAGCTTGCAGTGGCAGATGGAAAAAGTAGTTTTACTCTGGGATTCCAAAATGCTCAACTGATCACATAAGCTGTGTTAAATTCTTTTCTGCAACAGGAGAAGGCTGAAAAAGTAGATGGAGAAAAATAGAAGGAATACAGGAGAATAGGGCACTTTCTCTGCTCAGAAAAGCGAGAGAAAGAGAACACAGACTTTTTAAAAATCAGGAACAGTAAAAAAGAAAGATAAATGGAGCGACTGTCCTAGTGCAACTTCAAGCAGCCTGCTTGACATCTATAGTGAGAAAAGCAAAGTACCAGAAATCTGCTCCTTCCCTGCCATATTCAGCAGCCACAAGAATATGAATAGTGAGCATGATCATACCTCCTAAACGTTGCTTTTGATTGATTAACAGTGAGACAGAAGAGCTCACAAAACATGCAGACCAAAGAGGGATCTGTTTCCTTGGACAATGGGAGCAGAGTTATTTTTTTCACTTCTCCCATCATGAAGCTTTCAGTCAGGGAAGACAGAGCAGCACAAGTCAAAGCTAAAACGGATCTTAAAATTAGTGTCTGCAAACCCAATGCTTCCACATCCATCTTCCTTTTTTTTTTTTTTCTTTTTTTTTTTTCTAATAAACAATCTATAAAGCATTTGTCCTGTCCTTGTGGATGGGGGAAAAATTACCATTATTCTGCTGTTAGTTAAGAAGTTCTTAACAATACTACAATATTACATATACTGCAGAGATCTGACTTTTGACTTACCTAGTACTGTGAGTTTTGTCCCACTGCCAAAGAACAATCTTTCATTAGTCACACTATTTTGCACCTGCATTAAAACCTCTCAACTACTGTCCATTCTCTGAACAAAGCTTCTGCAGTAACCCTCCCTCATGTGGTAGACAATGAAACACAAAACACATGAATTTATGGTTTCCTAGGAAATACAGGAAAGGTCTGTAAAGGAACAGCAACTGCATGTCTGTCTAATCTGGTGAGACAAGTCCCAGAAATTCCTCTTCAGAGCTTTCTGATTCAGGCATAGGTGAATCAATTTGTGCATCTTTCAAAAATTCTTTACAGGACACTTAAGAACATGCAGTATTAGAACATACTCCTCATAAAGAGAAGGCAGATTTATTTCCTTATTTTCAGCTGAAAGGACCCAATTCCTTATTTCCCCATCTCCTTTCTATGTCATGAATAGCCTTTTCTTGTAAAATAAGTGTTTTGGGTTTTTTTTAGCATACAAGGTAGTTCATAGTGTCAACAGTCAATGATGGATCAGTGCATTGTTTTTCATCAGCACCTCAGATTCACACCGTATTTTAAAAAAATAATAATTAATTGATCACCTTCAATTGAGGGCCTACATTTTTTCATATGGAGAAAGAATTTTATCACTTGAAAGTTTTTTTGCTCTGCAATGAAGGGCCTGTTATAAAAGCATCAATTCTTCTAATCCCAGGAATAATAGTAATGAGAAGAAGAGAACACCATCACTGGCAACCCTGCCTGCAACAGGGGGGATGGAACTTGATGATCCTTAAGGTCGCTTCCAAGCCAAGTCATTCCACGATTCTATCATCTATCAGTCTTAGAAATATGTTTGTTTTCTTCTGGATTTGGAAGGAGTCCAAATCCTGACCTATGATCCAGAAATAAATGTTCTCCAAGAGTTATTTTAATTTGAAAATAGTCTTAGGTGATAGGTGATATTAATCAGCTTTTTATCATCCATTCTGAAACAGTATGACTCTTATTCCAAATTGACTTTCTAGCACAATCCTGACAAACTTGTTGTACAGAAAGAATCTTGCCATGCTGTGGAGAGCTGTTTTCTAGAACAACTGATTGTTAAACAGAGGTGTTAGTATTGCCTGTGATAAAGCTGAGTACTTTTTGCTTGTTTTGTTAGCTAAAAACTGGTAGATATATGTCTCTTCCAGTTATCTGATTTAACATGTTTTAGTTTACCCCCATAGGATATAAAGTACTTTGTTTTTAGAGCCTTGATTTTCTTCTTGAGACCTCTCCTAAATGTAACTGTAACTCAGGTAGCCTTTCTCTATCTTTATTTTTTTATCTCCATTTTTATCTTTATTTATATTATATATATATATAATATTTATTATATTATCTTTATTTCTTTATCTCCACGATAACCTGGAAGCACAGTTACACTTTCCAAGAGCAGTGATTTTTGCAGATGTTGATTTATAAAGAATATTGATGACACACATATATTTTTCAACCCATTCTCAACCTAATTTGTTTGACAGACTGCTCTTTATTGCAGAAAATGTTTTCTTTCAGTTATTCAAAGTGAAAAGTGTGTCCTTACCTAGAATAGAACTTAACCTAGTCTCCAAAATAGACTGGGCAACTAGTACATCAGTAAAACATCAGTTTAATAAAGAAGAAGAGAATGCTAAAGTGAAATAATCTGATGAGAATACCCAGGATTTTAAGTGATTTAAAAGAAAAAAGAAAATCTTCTTACCGATCGCTGTAAGTTTCGTGCCACCACCAAAAATCATGTTACTGTCACTATGACATACTTTTGTATCATAAGTTAAGAGAAAAAGTGCACTGCAAGTGAGTTTAGTAAGCAGAGGCTTAAACAATGTTTGCCATATCTGGAAACTTAATCTCTATCTAAATGACCACGGCAGAGCAATAGCTTGAAATCTCATTGTAACATCTGTAGCATTTATAAGAGCATTTTTTCAGAGTTCACTTGTATTTTTGTCTATATTTCGTTCTTAGAGAGAGGTTCTGAAAAAACTATTTGCCATGTTCTCCTCACTGATATCATGTGCTATTCTCATTTTGTAGACATAAACTGTATAGAGTTGTTCAAAGTGGTGTAAAGGGGGTAAATGTCTAGAAATATAATTACTCCATAACTACAGCTTCCATATTGTCAGGCTTATACTCTAAACATCGAGATTGTTTTATTTCTTCAACTTGTGAAATTTAATAATCAAGTTGTTTTGTGGTGGTCACAGTCGCACACCTTTTCATTTAGTTGCTTCTCCTTTGTGATGGTGAATTAAGGCAAACCCATTTTTTTTCCCCTTCAGCCACCTGAGAGTCTTGCAGGATTCCATTCAATTTTCTGGTAGGTTGAAAGTAATTCACACAAGAACCGTCCAGAAGAATCACTTGGCTGGTCTCAGACAAATCCTTTATCATCACTAGGAAAAATTGCAATGAGATACCATGGAGAAGGATTTAAGAAAAACACTGCCTTGACAGGCATGAGTCATTCTGTGAATGCTGGAGACTTACTTGCAAGAGAAAGCCCTAACAACCTTTTTCTATATTGCTTCTGAAAGATCAATGCTACATTTCAGATTCTTCTGTCACATCAATAAAAAGCCATTTTGAGGGTAGCAGCAAACATTATTGCACCAGAAAGAAATCGTTTGCTTCACATACTGTGATAGATTTAGATGCATCTGCCGTCAGTCTGATGCGCTGAAAATTATTTCAAGGTCATCAGAATCCACTGGCTCGCTTTCCGGACAGGATAGGCTTGCAGCTCTCGGACAATGAAGGTTTGTTCAAACATACTGTGTCTGTCAAGAGAAACCAAGACAGAACATGTCCACCGTGCTGTAGAATGCTCTCCAGTTGTCTTTGCACTCTCTCCCATGTGACTTATGCAACTACAGGTTTTTGTAAAGACCTCCTGGGAAATGCATCATTGTGGATCCCCCTGTCCCCACAACGGTACAGTCTCGTACAAAAACAATTCCACCTGTGTCTCCACTCTCATTTTGTCATCCAGTCACCATAAAAATTTTCTGTGGAAACCACAGGCCACTTCCTTCCTCTGCACTGCTCTGTCTGTGATAGTCCAAATATCTCCTGCTGTACACATTACCCATTAATACATCATGCCAACAGTTCTTCCTTCAGACAAAAATGATTCTTTGTTACGATTACCTAGTTTTAATTGCACTTATTTTTCACTATGTAATTTCACGGCAATAGTCATGGTGCTTTCATCCCCACTCTTCTGCTTCAGGATAATAACAGAACTTAAGCCTTCTGTAATTGTTTTACATTGAAAGTGATTTGCTTACTACAGACTGGCGTTTCCCTTTATAGCCTTGCCGGACTGTGGATAGCCTCTTCAATCGCTATTGTACTTGCCATTTGCTCTGAAAGGGATGGAAGTAGGATGCTGGGCAATTAGCTTGTGTTCTCTGTCTGCCTGTTGCACGAAGCAGAAATACAGTCTTCTGCAGGTTGCTTATGACTGAGGAAAAAGCTTAATCTATTAGCAAGAGCTTGCCTTCATTTTGGAGACTAAAAGGGGAGGGGACTTCCAGTGACAGGTTATAAGGTACTTTCATATTTCTTTCTTACACGTAACTAAATGAAGACACAAAACTGCATTTTTTCCCCTGTACCCAGTTAGCCCAGGTATGATGAAAGATCTGTGTGAGACTGTGCAGACTGGCAGATACTGAGGCAATACACTGAAAGAAAGGTGCACGCAATATTTAGATATGGGGTATGTTCAGCCCATCCAGACCTTGTCTTCTCAAAGAAACTATCCAGGTATAGCAGCATGAATAAGCACCTGCAGTTCGTGTTGCTGCGTAATGGCTTCACTTGAAACTATTTTGATAATCAGTCAGCAGAAGATACAATCCTTTGAAATAAGGTAATTAGCCTGGGGAAAAGTCACAGATTGCTTTCTTTTAATTTATCCTGCTCAGCTAGGAAGAGCTGTTATAGCCCCAGGGAAGATGAAACATTTAGGATCAACACAGAAATCTACAAAAAGTTATTTCAAATACTGGACAGGCAATAGGTGTCTCTGCAATACCCTCTTTTCTACAGCAGCAAAACAGTATGCTTAACTCACTGATTTTAAAAATAATTGAGAACTTTTTTTTTTTTAATTTAGATTGAATTGTTTTAAAAAATACACTTAGGGTTTTTCTTTTTATGTCCAAATTACGACAGTAAAGGGATGCTACTTGCCTTCATTGAGTCAAAACTTTCTCTTACATCAGTAGCATTTGTTCCAAGTCTAAAACCTTCCTACTTAAATCCCTTTATGGATCTTACTGTCAGTAGCACGCTCTCTTAAACATGATGTCTTTTGTGTAAAAGCATGCAAACCACTTCCTCTGTATTAATTTTAAGGAGAAATTCTATGTGATGCTAATATCACACAGATGAGCACTATTACATAGATGGGCACTTTCACATGGTAATATCCAAGAAGTGCCAGCAGACAGCAGTCTTGTCCCATTTTAAAGTTCATATATAGTCCATCTAGGCATTTTAGGCTATAATTTAAATTTAAAATGATAGGGAGAGAGCGAAGGAAAGGTCATCCCTTCTTTTTAGTTTTCATATGTCTGATAGAAAGCTTCATGGGCCAAGATGTGTAAAGCTTCAGCCAAGAGGCAAAGGTGAGAGTCTGTGAACAAGAGATGTTTAGGGACAAGTTTTCTAACAATAGTATCACATTAGTGCAGAAATTTCTACAGAAAAGTAATGATCTCATTGATTATATCAGTCTTGGATTCATTTCTAGCTTACATAAAATGCAAGATACAGAGAAACCAGGTTTTTAGTCCAAATTTAGTATCCTGTGTCAGCATTTCTCAAAGGCCCTGGCAGCTTGAGAGGACATCTGCTTTTCCAGAGTCGTTTCTGCTTGCAGGAAGCACACTGATCCTCTCCTAATGGTATTCTGTCCCCTTGCACTCCACCTTAAGACCTTCTTCCCCTCAGGCACCAATAGCTCTAAGCCTGACCTTACCAATTTCTTGGGTTATAACTGTTACTAGCATCTTACTATCAATAAGTTCTTCTTCGCCCACCTTTTTTCTATTGTTATATACATTCCAGCCTAGTTTAAATAAGGCTATAAACTATCTCCTTGATTCAGTATGCCAACCAAAATATGGACTCTGGGAGTCCCCACAGTAGCATATAGATTGTACCTTAATACCAGTAATAGCCTGACAGTATGTATTTAAAACAGATATGATTTACATGTAGGCATTCCAACCTGTGATCAGTGTCATTAATTTAACAGGTAGCTGACATGGAAATTCACCTGATCGTGGATCTGGAGAGTATTCCTGAAAATACTCATCTGCAGTCTTCACGATTCCCCTGGTCTGTTGAGATTCCAAAGTGCTTGTCCCATCTGGGGGTGCCAAACCCTTGGTTACCCCAAACAGTTAAGAAAATTCTCCAAATCAAATGATAATTCACAAAGCTGACACTGGTTTATTACAGTGCTGGGTGCTTGGGGGTCTTTCTAGAAACCATGCACACCCCAGAGCTACATCCCTTCGAAATTGTAATTGTATTGTCCATCATAGAACTTCTGCTTTATAGAAACATAAGGTAACATTTAAATCACATTAGCATTTTTCAGTGAAGAATGCACTTAAAATGGTAGATATAGAATGTGTGTTTATATGCAGGTTTTGTTTGTTTGTTCTTAAAACAGGGGCAGAAGTTATACAAAAACAAATTTATTTGTGAATGGATTGGCTCCCTTGCTCCTTTGTCCTCCTTACACAGACATAGGTCTGTGTAAAGAGAGGCTGAAGTAGAATGTTCTGTGTTCATGTTTATGGAGTTCTCATGGGAAGAAATTCGCAGTGAGAGTCTGGAGAAGTGTAAATCTTGTGGAAAGTGATTCTTATTTCCCTGGGGCAACACAAGGCTGAATCTAAATGCTGGTCATCTCTGAAATAGTTACCTTTCCTCAGTGCTGACATACAGGAATTGGAGCAGATGTTCTGGGTACTGTGGAGCTTACTTCAAAAATATGTGCATTTATATGCTTCTATAGCTATGTGCACATATATATTTATGAATGTATGGACATGCAGTAACATAGTCTGTCTTCAGAGGTGGTGTAAGCAACATTCCCTAGACGCATTCAAGGCAAGGCTAGATGTGGCTCTGAGCAGCCTGGTCTAGTGGTTGGCACCTGTGATTCTGTGATCCTTTTCAACCCAGGCCCTTCTATGATTCTATGATCATATGTGTTTAACATATGAATACTTATACAATTTTCTCAAAGTTCCCACCTTTTCCATACATAGTAAATCTAACACTGCATCTGCACCTGTTATTCAAGGAGTCTTTCAGTTGGCTCATAGATGGAACTGGTATTGGAACCTGCTTGTCTTGTAGATATCTCTTAGACAATTCTTTGTCTCTTAGATTGCTCTTTAGTGCCTCCCACAATGTCTATACAAAAGGGCCTATTCTTATCTGTCTGGAGCATCAAGGAATCTATTATTTGAATACTGAATTGTTTAAGTCTTTTAGCATCATCACTATCTGTTCCAGGGCAGCAAAATGTAGTAGAATATTGGCAGGAAGGCTCAATCTTTACTGAAATAATACCAACATCTGGTATTTGAGGGCCAACCTGAAAAAATAAGAGACACTGCTTTCGGAGTAGTCCTCATACATAGAATTGTAGAATCATTAAGGTTGGAAAAGACCATTTTCATTTTAGTTTGCATACATCTGTAACAATATTGTTAAGCTTGCTAGTGTTCACTGATAGACAGCCCTGCAGTTGGTTTAGATAACTGGAAGAGCTGTATCTTAGTACCACGTAAATAAGTTCTGTTCAATCTTTGTACCAAGAAAATAAGGAATGTTCTCTTAATCTTTGTACCAAGTAAATAACGAGACCTCTGTTAAGTTTTTGTACCAAGTAGATAAGGAAGTTCTGCTTGGAGTCAGTTACTGAAGGTGTGAATAACTCTGGGAAAAACTCTGCGTACATAATATACCTCTGGGAAAACCTCTGCATACGTAACACAAGTAATGTATGTAAGCTGAAGATCTTTTGTGCAAAGTATGTATGATAGGAGCTCAACCTCCGTGCATCTGGTATTGAAAATAAATACCTGTTTTCTAACACACCAACTTCATGATGAGAATTTCATGATACACTGATACATGGTTATTACTCTGTATGTCCACCATGCACGTGTAACTTACCACAACTGTGTCTATGCACTTGTAGACCATGGTAAAGATTGTACTCACGCCATTTTAAGCCAATTTTTAGCATATCACTTCTATTTAGCTATATTTCATCATCTTTTGTTCAGTCATAGAATCATAGAATGGTTTAGTTCTTCGAGTTTGTAAGGAACATAGAAGGTCATATAGTCCAAATCCCTGTCGATGAATAGGGACAACCACAGGTAGATCAGGCTGCACAGAGTCTGGCCCAGCCTGGCCATAAATGGTTCCACGCATGGGATTCCCACCATACCTCTAGTCAGTTTGTGCCAGTGCCTCACTACTCGCATTGTAAAAAACTTCTTCTTTATAACCAATGTAAATTCACCCTCATTACGTATGAAGTCCTCTCACAGCTTTGGGTAGCCCTACATCTATTGAGTTCTTGAGGTAAGGACAATCATTTCAGGCACAGTGAATAGCACTATTTGACTCACTGATGATATTCACAGCATCATGAGAGTGTATATACGAGGCAGCCTCCAAAGTAATTATGACATAAACGTAGATATATTTCTGTTAATGGTTCTAGTAAGCATGGCAATATTCTCATAACCATAACAGGTGAGGTTCACAGTTTCTCCAGTTCTCTTGAGGGCATCTTCAGGCCAGAAGGAATATCACTATACTGATTGATGGTGTATACCACAACCTAGAGTCCGGGCTCCATTCCCTGACTTTGCCCTGGTTTTCTCTCTGCT